GTACAGACTCAATGGATGTTTCAGGAGCATGTCGGTGTTTTTTTTTTTGCCCCTAAAGCTCCACTCGTATTTAATGGATGTACGGCCAGTGGATTTTGTTTCGCGGCTTTTCACATGGCAGAGTTGCACCAAAGAAAGTATATCGACAGCTGAATGTTGGGAGAGCACAGCGGCCCCTTTAGTATTTTCCAGAAACCAGTGTATCCTATATCCTATGTTAATGTGAATGACGAAATCTTGGTTTACAGTTACGCTATGTTTGTTAACTGAATTAGAGAAATTTGTTTGAAACAAGTTAATAGAAGAATGTGCAAATGGTGAAATTAACACTGTCCTGCTACTAGAGACGGTCCATGAATTTTGGAAAGGGTTTCAAAAGATCTTCAATCCATTAACTAGGTTTTCGGTGTAAAGGTGAATTTTTTCAGAGGATCTGCATACGTAAGTTTTTGGTGCAGCGATGGATAGGACGATAGTAAACATGGTAGTGGATGAAACCATGGTTGTAACTGCTGTCACTCTTAGTCGCCGGCTAAATATATTAACCGACGAGGCCAGCAGGTGCGGCACCACGATTTTCTTTATAGTTAATGTTGTCATCTTGTTTATTGAGAGCTATGGTGGAATTTTACGGAAACCACAAGGACAACAAAGATATATGGGCAACTTTTACCATCTGTGGTTCATGCAAGAAATTTGGTTTGATTCTACTTAGTATTGCGCTAATTTCATATTATGAAGTATTTTTGATTAGGTGTTCCGGTGCGTTCTACTATTGTTTGTCGTGAAGAGGATTTGGAAAATGTGAAGGAACAGTTCGAAACAATCCACTCTATAAAGCTGTTCAGTCTGCAAACAATAAAAATAGAGGTAAATTGGTTTTAGTTGAATTCATTCCATCCTTCTCTTATATCTCTTCCCCTTCTCATTTGAGCACTTGGTGCTAGTTCCACGCATCTGCTTTGCCTAAATCCTCTACCATCTTTTAAGGATCTGCATACAATACTGGCTGCTGATCAATTAGAAGACTTTAAGTTTTTTCGTACCGACACCGAGAGAACAGTAATTGAATCGAAAACAGTAAAACACTTTGCCGAGAAGTTATGTGAAGAGCTGCAATGTGGTAAATCGGACGTATTAATTGCCATGAAGCATATGTTTGACGAAAGAGGGGTGCGTTTTTTATTTGTTTTTCTCCATTCATGTTTATTGCTATCAAAATTTTTTGCGTTATCCCTCATCACCGGGCCCCTTCGACTTTCTCAACGGGGGTTGTTTGACATGTCAATCACGAAAATTCTCATATTATACGCTAGAACCTCAATATAGGGTTATGTTAGGTAAACAGTAGGGGGTCAAAACCACAACTTTGCATGAAACGTTACCTAGGAGGGTTATTTCAGATGCTTACGGTAATCGTATTCATTTCTACTGTGAGATCAAGGCAGGTAGACGGTAGCGAGGATACAAACTTCTGATTCAGTTTTTGCACTCGTTTTGACAATGAACCTAAAACAGTTAATTCAAAGCGCACTCTAGATTTTAAGATCAGCATATGAAATGATCTCTCTAGATAGAGTCCTAGGTGATTTCATACTGTTGACCCATAACCTTATCATAATTTTAGTGAGGAAGTGCCGTAGGGGGGTATGACCTTCGCAACCATGATATCAGATAAACCCGTTACACCAATTTCTAAGCGTATCCGTGATGCCTCATCACCGTTAGCTACCGTAACCCTACAATGTGGCTCTAAT